CTGTACCAGGTGGGATGTTCTCAGGTATGGGATTAGACAGAGATTTCAAATAAATAACTGGTGCGTTATCATTTTCATCAGTGATTTCAATAATTAATTTAGCTCCCGACGAGAGACCATATCCATCTTTAGCTTCAATCATCACTTCATATTTAGATCCGTCTTCATAATCAATCTCACCTATGACAAATATTTCCCCACTTTTCTGATCAATTGAAAACAATTTTCTTGATTTATCAGAGAGTCGGCTAAGTTCATACATCACCTCTCCATTAACACCTTCATCTGCATCCCTAGCTTTGACTGTGATAACTGGAGTTTTTAGTGGAGAGTTTTCTGCTAGCCTGGCTGTATACACAGCCTCAGTAAACACAGGGGCGTTATCATTAGCATCCAGCACTGTGACGTGTATGACTACAGTCCCGGACCTCTGAGGAGATCCACCATCAACAGCTMTMAGCAATAACTRCAGCTCCTGCTGCTCCTCTCGGTCTAACTCTTTKTSRAAAACCAGCTCTCCATATTTACTACCAYCACCTGARGTCTGAGTATTYAACACAAAATGRGYGTTTTSTTCTAAAARGTAGCTTTGAACAGAGTTCTGGCCTATATCTGRYTCKRGCGCWGCTAWAATSCGATACRTTGCYCCTTTGWCAGCTYATTCACTGATTTCCAGCTTTATCACATCCTTARRGAATTCTGGTGCATTATCATTTACATCCTGTACCTGTAGAGACAATCGGTGTAACTCCAGAGGATTTTCTAGAAGCAGGTCGAATCTGAGAATACATGTTAGTTTTTCTCCACAATGCTCCTCTCTGTCTATTCTTCCCGCAACGAACAAATCTCCGTTTCTCAGGTTGATTCCGACATACTGTTTGTCACTTCCTTCCATTTCAACACGAGCTTTACGAGCAGACAGCCTCCCTGAATCCAGTCCCAGATCCTTGGCGATATTTCCGATAAKTGATCCGTGTTTCAGCTCCTCCTGGACTGAATATGTCAGGTCTCCGTGTGCGCAGTGCAGCACAAAGAAGACAAAGAGCAGGCCGCAGAATTCACTAGAACACCGTCTGTACTCCATCATCAGGCTGTTCTACACGCGATCACACGACGTGATTACAGCAATGAAGCAAATATCTAAAAAAACGTAGCTTTTCAAGCATGTGGCTCTAACCTAATACGACACAGAACACACACTGACCGATCGCAATAATGGAGGAATTGCAAACCAGTTAGAAATTATTGTACAGCTGGTCAATACTGACATCTTGAG